AAATAAACTATAGCTTAACACAGATACGTTAACGGCCCTTAAAGCGTTAAATATATTTATATTTGTAGTCAAAAGATTGGTACAATACAGCGATGTTCTATTGAAAAATTTCAACAAACTAATTTTCGTGATTGGCATAAAGAAAAATATTTGGGTATTCACACAATTGGGATACGATTTGCACCAAATTTTGGCAAATATCCAATCGTCTGACACTGCTTTTAAAATCGTATTTATACGGATGTTGTTAAAGAATCGACTATAAAGAACTAACCGAAATTAAATAACAAAAATAATATTTTAAAACTTGTGAAAGTTCGGTGCGGCTATAATTTTTTCGACTACTGTACAATGTACAAAAAAAAATTGCGGATTTTCCGGCGGGACTATCAAACCTTGTATATTTTAAGACTAATAATAAGCTTTACGTGAGCTGGACCGGTTTGAAAATAAAAAATGGAATTTTTTATGAATAAAAATAGTTTCTTAAATTATTTTTTTGGAAAAAATTCTCCCAGATAATAAAATAGTTTAAGCTTAAAAAATCTACATAAAAATATTAAAAAATTGTATCAACGGAATCATAGTAATAAGAATTTGATGCTGTTTTTTAACTTTTTTCAAAGGTTTGGGTAAGAAAAACTTCAATAACTGCTCCAACACTTTACCGATATAGACTTATGAGGTATCAGTGGAAAGATATTTTCTCACTTGTTTTATTTCTTTGCAAAACAAACTTAATATGTAGGTACATTTACATATTTTACACTTTTAACATAAATGTCAAGGCAGATATTTTAAGATACACTTCTTAACAAACAAATTTTTTTAAGTTATTATGAATGGATAAAAGAGACATCTTCTTTGAATTCAGTACTAAAACTTGACATTTTAAGTGCTTATCAAAACTTTATACATGTTAACTAGATTCGTAATTTATCTTAAAATTATATAATTTTAATTATTTGTTTATAAAAATGCAGTTTACACCTTAACAAAACCCGTATAAATCCAAAGTTTAATCTTTGCGCAACATTAAAAAAATCAACAAACTTCCGTAAAGCTTTTTAATTAGATTTCCTAGAAATACATATTTTGAGTATGCAGTTTTGTAGACCGATCAATTCAAATAAAGCGCAAGTT